GAGGAGTGCTGGAAAGGGAGAGGGACTGGACATGGTCTAAGACCTGACTGGGGCCGTTAAGACTCTTGAGCCTATGTTGTGAGTCACTGTGGGATTCCTGGGTCCTGCTCCTTCTTGAGGCTTCAGCTGCTGGTGCAGGTGGACTGTTGGACTATTCTGGGATGACGCAACCCTCAGTCTGAGTTTTCTTGTTCCAACCATACAAGGTCCTTTTGTTTTTTGGGTTTTCAGGTGCTGGGATTGCTATAAACAGCATTAGCATCTCCTCACACTTCTGTGCCACGGGTTCAGAAGATGGCTACCTGCGGCTGTGGCCACTGAACTTCTCAGCCGTTGTCGCAGAGGCAGGTGAGTAGAGCTGGGAGCTTCTCAGCTCCATATCTCTATCAGCCTTCTGCTGTGAAGCCCGAGCTCCACTGCCATGTCTCCTAAAGCAATTCCTAGGAACTCAGTCTCTCTCCTAAAGCAATTCTCAAGCATCTTTTGTGCCTGCTGTCAGTAGGGGTGACTGGCTTGGAAGTCTTCTACTTCAACGAGCTTTATTGATGTTCATTCTTGTAACTTATAGAAGAAAGGCAGGATCTCCTGGGAGAGCACAGGAGATTGATTTCTCTGCCCTTGTACCCATGGCTCATCTGTCCATGGAAAATTAGGGGAGAAATTAAGCAGTTCTTCACTCTTTTTGAAACAACCACCATAACAGCAGAGCCCGGGGACTTCTAGAAAGGGCAGAGATAAGTTTATCACTAAACTCAAATCTGCAAGCATCCAATCTTCAGGTGGTGAGATGCTCATTACTTTCCTGAATGTGAATCTGGTTTGGTAGCTGTGTTCCAGCTGCTCCTGCTCCTTTTCCAGGGGGGGTTGCTGACTCCTGGGTCTCTCTGCAGAGCAAGAGGCTCCGGTGAGTTGTGTGTGCATCAGCCCGGATGGCCACAGAATCTTGTGCACGACGGCTGCTGGGTATCTGGGCTACCTGGATCTCCAGTCCTGGGACTCCAACACTCTCATGCGCTCTCATGAGGACTCCGTTCTGGCGTTCTCCATGGAGGGGATTTGGAAGCGAATGGCAACGGTGTCTCAGGACAGCACCATCCGGGTCTGGGACCTTGTCTCCATGCAGCAGGTGGGTCAGATGAGACTCAGAAGGTGTCTTGTATGTATTAATAATCTTCCTAGTCTCTGTTTGGTCCGGTTACCAAAGCTCCACAGTTCAAGAGCCATTACATGTCCTCCCTGGAGCATAAGGGGCATGGGCAAGAAATCCTCTGGAATAATGGAATTCTGAGAGGTTTAGCTTAATGCATAGTTTGGCCTTAGCTCCTGAAGGTTTTGTTAAACAACAGTATTTCCATTTCCTCCATCTTTTGAATCCCAAACTGGTTTGTGTTGGAAGAGACATTAAAGCTCATCCAGTTCCAACCCCCTGCCACGGGCAGAGACACCTTCCACTAGAGCAGGTTGCTCCAAGCCCCTGTGTCCAACCTGGCCTTGAACACTGCCAGGGATGGGGCAGCCGCAGCTTCTCTGGGCAACCTGTGCCAGCACCTCACCACCCTCACAGGGAAGAACTTTTGCCTACGAGCTCATCTCAATCTCTCCACTGGCAGGTTAAAGCCGTTCCCCCTTGGCCTGTCCCTACAGGCCCTTGTAAATAGCCTAGATTTCATGTGGAATATTGCTTTTTAATGAGGCATAATAACCAAGGGTTTTATCTAAATGCCCATAAATCCAAGACTTCACTGGGCTTCAGATCCATCCAGGCAGGACCAGGTTACTGTTGTGGGACATGCTCATGGTGGAGGTCTGAGGCTTAGTTGTTAGGTACAGCTGCCAGGTTGAGCTTTATCCAGCTTCATGCCTGTGGTGTGTCTCTTCCCCACAGCTATACGACTTCACAGCTGCAGAGGGAAAACCGTGTGCTGTGGCCTTTCACCCTACCCAGCAAATCCTGGCCTGTGGCTTTGACAACGGGATGGTGTGGACCTTCAGCCTGGCCACCTCCAGTCTCCTGGTGGAGCACAAGTAAGGGCTGTCCTGGCAAGAGCCACAGTGATAATCATGGAGGTGGGAAAGGTGCTTTTCTTTGGCTTGACAGTCCTCATGTCCCAGCTGAGTGGTGTTCAGGCAGAAGTAGCCTGCTCTGGGTGGGAAAAGTCCAACTTGGGAAGGCTCCAAGGGTTTTCTTTGTGACTTCCCTGTGGACAGTTGGCCCACAGTAGGAAAAGCTTGTCCTAGAGAGCAGCTGAACAGGGAGCTCTTGCAAGCTGCAACGTGGGAAGCAGAGGATGCTCCAAAGGGAGAGGGAGCATGTCCCGTGGATAGCTGGAGTGCTGAGCTTGCTGCTCAGTTTTCCATAAAGTTGGAGTGTTGATTGTCCTGGGCTGCTGCAGGCGTGAGCATCTTGGGGTTGTGCCCCTGATTGCTTTGTACTCTTGGGTTCTTCACCATGTTGCAGTCAACATTGCTCCTGTTTTCTGGCAGTTGGTTGGTTTGTTCTTTCCCCTCCCCTGTTTCATGTTTTCTACCTTCTTCCAGGCAGCACCGCACTGTCATCACTGGGCTGACCTTCTCTCCAGATGGCAATTTTATGTTCAGCTCCTGTTTGCAGGGAAGTCTGGCTCTTTACAGCTGCATGGCACAGAAAAGCCACGTCTTGAGAGTCTTGGGTAAGATTCTGGGGCTGTGGGTTGCCTTTCTCCTTTTATGAGCACAGATATCCTAGCACCAAAACCAAACCCAACTCGGAGAGCTTTTCTGATGAATCTTCTGAGCTGTGACATTTGTGTTTATGTGCAAGCAAACCCTTGTGACTGCCAGCCCTTCCCTACCCCTCCTGATTCAAACACTCTCCATTTGCTTGGTGTTTTGATTTTGTGAACGGGCTGGAATCACAGAGACTTATTCATGCCCAAGTCCTGAATCCTTTCTTCCTGTGGATGTGCAGTTAGTTTAAACTGGATCATTTCCCTAATCCTGCCTTCAGCTGTGCTGGTGATCAGAGAAGGTGGAGAGCTGCAGGCAGGGGAAGCAGTACAGGGGCAAGGCAGTTTGGAAACACTAATGTCACTTTTAATTCACCCTTTTGAAATGAGCTATGGCAGGAGGACAAGCTTGGGCAGGGAAAGGGAGTTCCATTGCTGTACAAAGAGGAGGATCCTGCCCCAAGAAAAGTGTTCTTGAAGTAGGTGAGAAGGAATAGGGGCTTGGAGAGATAAATCACCCAAGTTTGGCATCAGTGCTGCAGCTGGACCTTCACATATTGACTCTGCTCTGAAACCCTGTTCACTGCCTGGCCATGTTCCAGGGACAGAACAGTGGAGTTTTGGCAGTGGAATAAATACCAAGTATTGCTGTGATTTTGGTGAAGTTTAGACCCTTGGGTCTGTCTGCCCGCTGGGCTGACGTCAGCACAGAGGGGTTTGACACTGACTTTATTCCACACAGGGTTCAGACGCCCAGGCTGCAGCTGAGACCTCACATTCACAGCTCCTTGTCACAGCTTCTCGTAACGTTAAAAAACAAGACACTAAAATCCATTTTATTCCCTTGACTTTGTTCTCTCCTTTAATACAGCACACGTTCAGTCAGGGAACGAGCCATGACTCTAGACCTTGTCTTTGAGGTCTGCAACTTTGAGTGTTGCAGATAAAATGTGTAGTATCTTCTGCAACAGAGGTTGCTTCTTTCTGAGGCCAAAACATTAACGTGGGGCTGATTGAGGGGCAGGAGAAGCTGCAGGGCCAGCAGCACTATCACAGGGTGAGCTGGCTGCAGTAAGGGCTATGCTTCTCTCTTTATTCTCTCTTGCTGTGGCCCTCAGGCAATGTGGTGGCCCGGGATGCTGGGAGCGGTCCGGATGCGCTGGTGGTCAGCGGGGACAGTTGTCTCCTCGCCTTCGTGGGGCCCTCCAAGTACGTTGTGACTGTGATGGAGGCCTGCTCACTGGATGAGGTACCCAGCTGGCTCCCCTTGTCCGAGGGGAGGGTGGGAGGGCAGCATGGGCTCCAGGGTGCTGTGGGCAGGATGGGCAATTCCCATGGGCTGCATCAGATGAGATGGATCAAGGGCTTTGGGCACCAGCAGTGTTGGAGAGAGCCCTTCCTGCACAGCAGACACTTCCCCAGGCTGCTTACAGTGAGGTTGGTTTTCCATTCTGTGAGACAGAAACAACAAAGTCAATCCCCTCCATGGCAGGGGATTGGAACTAGATGGTCTTTAAGGTCCCTTCCAGCCCAAACCATTCTATGATTCTATGAAGGTTTCTTCTCCAGCTTGAATCCCCTCTAGAAAGATAATTTGGAGAAGCGTTGTGTAGACTGTCAGCCCCAGCTTCTCTTTGTGAGCTGCTCTCCTGGGCAGCAGGGACATTGCCTGGACCCTGTAGCCCTCATTAGGGGGGGAAGGGAAGGGTCTATGGGGGTTCCATAGCCTCGTGCTTGGAGAGCCATGAGAGCAATCCTGAGGCTTCTGCAGCATTTGCTCCAGTATTTGTTCAGTAGCTCCTTGTTTGACAGCTGCTGAGGGTGGACATCAGCATCCTTGATTTGAACAGCACGGCCTTGGACTCTGCAGTGAGAGTCTGCTTTGCTCCTGTGCCTCGAGGTGAACTCCTGGTGGCCACTTCTTCCAATAAAATCCTTGTGCTTGATGCAAAAACAGGACGACTGGTGCGAGAGGTAGGACACTCTGAAATTCATGCACTGAGGTCCTATGTCATAGGAAGCTTGGGAATGTCATGTCACTGTAGGAGGGAAAATGAGAGAAGAGCTCATCCTGGAGTTCACAGGCTTCAAAGAAACACAGGAGTTGGCAAGCCTTGTAGCTATCCTGGTGCAGTCATGCTCAGGGTGAGCCTGAGCTTGTCCTTGTTTTCAGTGTTGTCACATCCCTGTCCTCTTGCTGAAGCGTAAGGAAGTATGTGAGCTAGCTCAGTTAATGCTGCTGGTGCTGTTTCTTGTCCTCAGGTGTCTCCCGTGCACAAGCTGTCCTGTTCTTCCTTGGCATTGAGTGAGGATGGCAGGTACCTGCTCACTGCTGGTGACAAAGTCGTCAAGGTGTGGGACTATCAGATGCGCTCCAATAACAACTTCCAGGTACTGCCCACAATGGGAGGGAAGGGGGTTGCTGTTGCATTTCTAAACCCATGGAGAAGAGAGTACCCAATGCCCTCTGTGGGACTTGGCCCAGTGTCCCTGTTTGTCCAGCTGGAGCAGCTCTGCTCTGGAGCCAGGCTGAGAGAGCTGGGCTGGTTCAGCGTGGAGAAGAGAAGGCTTCTTAAGGGGAGACCTTAGAGCAGCTCCTAGTGCCTAAAGGGGCTACAGGAAACCTGGAGAGGGGCTTTGGACGAGGGCCTGTAGGGGCAGGCCAAGGGGGACTGGCTTTAACCTCCCAGAGGAGAGATTGAGATGAGCTCTTAGGCAGAAGCTCTTCCCTGTGAGGGTGCTGAGGTGCTGGCACAGGTTGCCCAGAGAAGCTGTGGCTGTCCCATCCAAGGCCAGGCTGGACGGGGCTTGGAGCAACCTGGTCTAGTGGAAGGTGTTCGTGCCCATGGCAGGGGATTTGAACTGGGTGAACTTTAAGGTCCCTTCCAACCCAAACCAGTCTGGGATTCTGTGAAATGCAGCCCTATTCCTACGTTGTAATAATGCTCAGCACCAAGCACAGGCTGGGCTGCCATACCACCGTGCTTAGTGAGATCCTCTGTGAAGGACAGAGGTAGGTGTGACCTCTGCTAGGGACAGAGCCACTCACATAAGAAAATGTCTTGCCCAGTGTTTCAAGAGCTATTGAGAGCTGGTTTTAGATCTTGGGGGTTTTTAGCTCCTGCTTGCTTCTCCAGATGGGTGTGAGGAAGGTCAATCCTAGGTTCATCAACCCTAGGTCTGAGCACTGTATGTGTGCTCCTGGTCTCAGAGGATCTGCTGAGGTGTGTAGACACTGGCTGTGAGGGAGGGAGTGGAGTAACCACCATGCTGATAGGACAGGCGTGGTGTTGAAGTTCAATGTGCGTTCTCTCCCAGGTGTACATTGGGCACTCAGAGCCAGTGCGCCAGGTTGCCTTCACCCCAGACCAGCAGCATGTCATCAGTGTTGGAGATGCCATCTTCCTATGGGATTTCCTAGCTCTGCCTGAGAAGAAGTCACCACCAGCTGGGTAAGTGCTCGGTGCTGGGCAGACCCTTCTGCCTGCCCTTACTCCCCTGCCCCATCCTCTCTTGGTGTAATGCGACTCTTCTACCTTTTCCAGGCTTCGTTCCTCTGAGTCCGTTCCGCTGCTGGGGCCAGGTGAGTTTGCCTCCTGACATGAGTTAACACTGGCAGCTCTTCCACCACTGCTCATTATGGCAGAGGGTAGGGGTTGGGATTTTTTGGTTCCTTCCCTTAGGGATTTACATAGCAGCAGGGTGGGGAGACGGGTAACCAGCTAATTAGCCCCAAAGGATGGTCTCTAACTAGCACCTCTCAGTAGGAGTCTGCCAGGGAGGGGATGTTCTGAGCAGACCTGCTCTGGGTTTTCTGTTAGGTCTTTCAGCTTTCGCCTTCTGTCTTTCCCTGCTGCCATCTCTTCTGTCTTCTTTTCCTCACCCTCATTGTTCCCCTCTCTCTTTCCATCCCTCTCTTTAGTGACATGTTCTAGTGGTGGTCTCTGCAGTTCTGGGGTAAAGGTTGGACTTGATCTTAAAGGTCTTTTCCAACCTAGTTGATTCTGTGATTCTTTCTTGAAGGGCAGAGGAAAAGTGGCTTCTCTGATGTAGGAGAAAGCTGGAGAAATGAGCTTGGAGGTATCATCATCGATCAACCCAAGAGGATGAGGGAATCTAAGAGATGAAGGAAATTACACAAACCCTTTTATTTTCACAGAAGGCAGCTCTGAGAAGCTGAAGGATGCCACTGAGACGCCTCGGCAGGCAGTGCCTCTTCCATTGCTGTCCTCACCACTATGTTTGGATGTCAGCTCTGTCCACCAAGCAGGATGTCAAAGTAAATGGAGCTGCTTGCAGGAAAGGGGAAAAATAATCTTGTTTTAGGAAAAACTCCTTGTGTAGTTGAGCAGTATCCTTGGAGCCATCCCTGCCTGTGATCCCCTTCCTGCAGACTGACAGACCAGGCTGTGCTTTCCTTCTCCTAAACTGGACAAAGCCAGCCATAGGCACTGGGCTTCAGCACTGCTTTATCCTCTACTCTCCTCCACACACTGAGCTGCTGGCACAGCTTCTCTGAGGGCTACAGTAAATACCTTGTTGGACATACCCGGTAGGAAATGTCTGCTTTGCCCTCCACCTGAACAGATGGACTGTTACACATAGCAGGAGGATGACACTGGCAGATATCAAAGGGTTGTCACACATGAGGCGATCCTGAAGGACACAGTGGCTCTCTCCTCCCATCAGGTATCTTCTCTGAGTCAGACAAAGAGGACGAAGCAGATCTGCCAGGCAGCAGCAGGATGATGGTGAATGGAGACAAAGATGCCTCGGTCCTTGTGGTGGAGCCAATGAGGAATGAGGAGCTCGTTGTGGTGAGGCCCAAAGAGAGGCAGGAGAGCTCGAGGTCTCCTGGAGCATTGGCAAGTGGTAAGTCAGGGGTATTGCCAACTTGTACAGAGCTCTGCTCCTTTGGGACGCAGTATGCACAGGCAGCTTGGTCTATCCCTGAAAAATAAAGAGCATTAATATGGCACAGATAGACCCAGACATGTGCTCAGAGTTGTGAGGTGAGGGGCAGCAGCTCTATGGCTCTCCTTTTGGGTGTGATTTACCAAGGGAAGTCAGTATTGAGAGAAGCTCACACTAATGCCCAAGACTGCTTGTTTCTTCTGGCTATGAGGCACACTACAAGCCCCTGTTCTGCTTGCAGCCAATATCGTCTCTAAGTGGCACGTTCTATTAAAGCTCCCCATGTCTCTATTAATAGATGTACAGCCTCTAAGCTGCAGCAGTTGGTGGCGAGCTGCCAGAGCAGGCAACTGCCAGCGTTCAGCCCCAGGCAGGAGCTCTTGGAAAGGTTCAACACAGAACTGTGCCTCTGCCTCTTCTATCAAGAATGTCTTTCTAGCCTAGTGGCTTATGCTTTCACAGCAATGCCGGGGGGATGCAGCATGGATGCCCAGAGGCTGGTTGCAGTGTGGTGTGGCTGAGCAGGGTGATGGGGTGGATGGAGTTTCCTCCTTCACTGCTGGAAAGCTGGTGCTTTTCCTACAGTCCGTTGTGTAGGAGCACATCTGATGCTGCAGGCTGATTTTTGCCTTGTGTGTGTGTATGCACACACATAGAATCACAGACTGGTTTGGGTTGG